ATCAAAAAACACAACATGTGGTCAAATGAATATATTGTTCTATCAGTCATTACAAAAATGGACAGCTACTACATGCTCAGAATAGCTGTAAAAATAGAGGTCAGTTTGTGCCCAGCATTTGAAAGGCTTTACACAGTTACAGTAATCTGTACGATAAACGGCAAACTGGCATATCACTGCATCTATTATATTCTCCGTAGAATACTTTATTCAACAACAAAAGTTGATGTAACTTTTATTGCCTAATTAATATCACAGCAACTAAACAGTTAACCAAACAAACAAGGAATATATATAATGGCCGAACCAAGGGGGAATTAAGATGAACAGAATGCAAAATAACTCTGACAAAACCCAACACTTTAATATGGAGCAAATGGTTTGTCCCAATTTGTCCTGATTGGTTGCTTCCTGTATTTAGAGTCCTCAGCCCTCAGCCATACCTTTTGCTGAACCAGGAAGTAACCTCCCCCAACGACCAGGGTAACTAAAATACAAATACAGTTATTGATACAAACAAATACTTGTGTTTAGTGATGGCGAGATGAAGCCTTATGAAGCTTTGAAGCTTTCCAGCCAATTGGTTCGCAAAAGGGTTCATCTCATGAGGCTTCATCATGGGCTTCATTTGAACGCAAACCCCCTGTTGGTCAAAGTGTGTAAAACAGGCAGATTGGACATCTCAACAGTGTGCTCTATCTCATACCGAGTTCCCAATGAGTAAAGCCTTAGAATAACTCTAAACAACCAACATTAAATCATTTTCATGTTAACAATATTGTTTTTATTCCAGTTGAATGATTGTGATTGAAAAGCCTAAGGAGGCTGGTAAACATTGCAAAGAGGGATTTGTATTCCTTAATAATATTCATAAACTTAACCATGTTGTAGCCTGAGAAAGGCTAAACCATATCAAAGAATACATTTATTAACTACATTATCTCATTTAGCTGTAGCTTCTATAAACTACAAAAAATACGTATCGACGAGTCGTTGAACCAGGAACCCTGCGGTCGTGAGTCAACGGCTTTCCAGCTGAGCCACAGCACACACGCTGAATCTCACTGAAAACACTGTAACATATTTATTCCTGTATTTATTCATTCATGTTTTTTTTCCTACATTTATTTATGCTTGTATCTATTTATACTTATGACATGTTCCGACCTCTATATAAGTGAGGTTCTGAGCTCTTTTAATTCCATCGTGTCACCAGCGGGCCCGGGTACAGGAGGGGTAATTTATTATACATCCATAGGTATTATGAGCGTTGTGGTTCAACGGTTCAACCGATCTGAATGGCTTCCTGAAGCAGTCACGTGGTATCGACAGGCAGCGAGGCTTCGTTTGTCATCGATGACGTCACTGGCCCAAAACGATACAAGCCTCGATACATGCTTCACAAAAAGCTTCGGGGATTACTCGACACACGCTCCGAAGCCTCGGCGCAATACGTAACATCACTACTTGTGTTAGCTGTGATGGAAAGTGTGATAATAAACACAATAATGTCAAATACAGAGTTGACCATTTAAATCAAATGAGTGGTGTTCAATGTTGGTGTGGTTTACTGCAACTGAAATGAAGTCAAACTAGTTGAGGCAAGGGTCCAGTGTAGTTGCCTTCCCTGTGTGGCTGTGGCCATCACATACATTTTTAATTGTTGTCTTAGTCCCTACAGAGACGAGAGAAACTGGAACATGGACAATGGCACCTCTACTGCATTCTTTATTCACCAAACAACCAATAATGCACAAGCTACATCATTCATTGTGAATAATATGTGCTCTGAGAGCACGATAACAAGAAAGGGCCGTGAGGAAACATGTAGGGACCCTCGGACTTGCAACCTATTGGAGCGAATGAGGCCTGTCGGCATGGAAAAGCTTTCCGTGGCAGTATTAGTGAGCGCTGGGCCCACCTTTTCTTTGGATTGCAACATATCATTAGATCCAGTGCACGGTGCATTAGTGTGAGGCATGGCAGTAGCACCAAGCTATCTCTCCCTCTGGTCCTTTATTAGCCACTAATCCACTGATGATCGTTATTAGCCAGAAAGAAGTGTGTGTGTTTGCATGGTAAGTGTGTGTGTCTGAGAGATGCATTTTGGCATAGTGCTCTGTATATTAGCCCGGTGATTTATTAGCTGGGTAATGCCGTCCCTTCTTCCCCAAAGCTGCATTGTCCATTTGACAATTAATTCTGAATCGGCTATAACCACGGGGGAGGGGGGGGGGGGGGGGGGATAGAGGGGGAGATACAGAGCGAAAGGGAGAGATCATCAACAAATACATGGGTTGAACCCCAGATCAAGTGCAGAGCTATGTTTTTTCCATAAGATGTGGCTGGTTAATTTCGCTCTTGTGTCCTCTTTTGAAGTCTGCTTATGTTGTTCTTTCAAACGTTCCCTCGCTTCTCCTCTTCTCTAATGCCATTGATTTATGCAATTGCTTGCTAGTGGTGTTCTCTTCTTAATACGGCCATCCTCCACTTTTTGTTGTTGTGCTGTTTTTCTAAGAATCCCAGGGTCATTTCTCCGCCTCTGCCTTTCACTCCCAATCCGGTTCCTGCGACACAACTTGGCCCTCTTGCCTCGCTATAAATGACTAGATTGTACGCTCTTATTCTGAAGATATGTATCTTTCTTAGACTTGCCGTTTTTCTTTTTCACTCTACAGTCAAAACAGATCGATTGTTTTTTATCTCACTAATTGCCTTTGTTATTAAAGTCAGAGAATTTGAACTGTAAGGGATAATGTGCGGCAAACCAGTCATGATAGCCAAATGTATATTATACTCCTTCTTATTTTTGTGGAGAGCAAGGAACTTTTGATTCATGATGGCTGATCTGTTCTCTTTTCCTTTTCATAACCGAGGACAGATCAGCCATCATGAAAAAGGAGTATTCAAATAGTATCTCATGGTATTATCTGATTGAGGTGTTTATTTGGCCACAGCTGATGTTAAATTGACTGGAATTGTTTTCTGCGGATTGATACAGTATGACTTCACATGGTCCCTCGATCAGAGCATCCTTAGCAACGGTGTGATATTATGAAAGATCAGAATTGGATATTCAACTGAGCCGTCTTATAATGATGGATAATATTCCTCATCTGACCTTGTTCAGCCATCACTTCATAATTTTAGCATTACAGTGCCACCGTTTAGTTTTATAACCATTCCAAATTAGAATCACTCATTCTCTGTTTAACGGGGGACAAACTGACACTACAGAGAGCAATCCCCTGGCGTGTGTGTGTGTGTGTGTGTGTGTGTGTGTGTGTGTGTGTGTGTGTGTGTGTGTGTGTGTGTGTGTGTGTGTGTGTGTAGTGGTGTTGTGTGTGTGTGTGTGTGTGTGTGTGTGTGTGTGTGTGTGTGTGTGTGTGTGTGTGTGTGTGTGTGTGTGTGTGTGTGTGTGTGTGTGTGTGTGTGTGTGTGTGTGTCCTAGCATTACTATACTTGTGGGGACCTACATCTGTTTACATAGTCACGTGTGGGGACTCGCCTCCCAAATTGGAGGTCCCCATGAGGGGAATCATTCATTTTAGGGTGAAGACTTGGTAAGGGTAGGTTTAGGGTTAAGGGTTAGGCATGTTATGGTTAAGGTTAGGATAAGTCTCCAGGAAATGCATGTAAGTCAATGTAATGTCCCCTGAAGTGATGTATACATGGTATGTGTGTGTGGTCTTGGGACCTTATAGAGTTTCCACAGTGTCAATATGATTACTGTTTACTACAGCTGCAGATAGCACAGCTCTGATTATAATTGCTAGTTGAGATGCGGAGATGGCCTCCTCTCAGTTTCCACCGCTTGTTGTCCACATTATACATTCTGGAAATAAATACGAGGAGATGACATATGAATAGAAACCAGCATTATTGGAAAACAAACGGGTGAGAAGAAAAATACTGGATGAATTTATCATTGTTAGAAAACATAACTTGAAAAAACGATTTAATTCACAAACATTGGAAATACATACTTGGGTTTTATGTTCAATGGTTTCAAATCATTTTGCTACTTTGCTCAACCACTTGTTGCTCTCCAAAAAGATGATTTGCCATGTCCTCAACAGCAGGGATGGCAATTATTAATATGGGTCAATAAACTAATTGAGTCATAAATTAGGATTAGATAAGATATATATTGATCCATTTAGGAACATTCAAATGTTAAACAGCAAACTGAAGAAACTTGAAGAGAATAGGACAGGTTAGAGTACTTACTAGTGAAAGTGATATACTAGACTATCAATGTAAAACTCTGATTAATAACTGAAAGGAAAATGCACAACGTCAATAGCTGGTAAAGGTTGGTGGATTATTGAGTTCTGTATAGTACAAGGCCCCCCCTCCCCCCTTCTGTGTTTAGATATATTTAGTCAGAGCCGGCAGCACAGCTACATGAGTTTGCTAGTCTGTACTGGCTGTAGTCATCTGAGTGTGTTTTCCTGGAGTAACACAGCGGGCTATCTTTGGCTGACTGTCACAGGGTTTTTCTCCACTTGAAAAGTTGTTGGGCTGACAGAGAGGAACAGTGAAAAAGAAACAATGGTACACAACCACATTCATTTTGGTCTAAATCTGTCACCAAGAGTTTTGGATTTGCTTTGCAGAACAATGTGGGAAACCTCAATTGATTCTGACCCATTACACAAATATATTGTTATGCACTGTGAAACAAACACACAAATGTTTGCATGTTAAAATATAGATCACGCTGAGTAGGGTTGCACAATTTGAAAACATGAATAATGACTTAATAATATTATAACAGTGTGATTTTTTTGTAAGAAGATCTCTACCAAACTAATTTGTTTAGTATAGTCTGGGTTTTAGTATATGAATATAGTCCATGTTTCGATGACATTTTGATTCGATTAATTGTGCAGCCTTAACGTTGAGGTAGGAGGCTTTTCTGAAATGACCCTAACCTTAACCCTCACCACGATAGAAAAAGCTCTTGACTCACTGTTTCCTCTTTCCTCTCTCTACAGGTCCAGAGTGGTACTTGGTCAGAGTGGAGCTGACAGTGACAGATGTAAATGATAATATCCCAGAATGGAGCATGATTCCGGCTCCATACCTGGCGGTGGTCTCCTCCGACGCCCCCGCAGGCTCGCTGGTCTACAAGCTGCACGCTCAGGACGGGGATGAAGGGAACAACGGGGAGGTGGAGTACTTCATGTCTGATGGTGGGTCATTTTCTGCTCTTCCCCTGCATGCCCAATCATTTAACAAGCGTTTTCTTAACTCCTTACTTTGGCAGTACAGAAGGATGGTGTCGTATGCCATACTAAGAACTTTAAATACCCTCCTATCACATGTCTTTTTTTTCTAAGTCAATACTTGTTCAGACATTCTGTGACAACAAAAAAACCCTATGTAAATATTAAGCTTCAAGATCTCAGCCTCTATGATATAAGCGGTTTCATTTCTTAAGTACACTTGCTTCCATAACAATTTACCGGTAATAAAGGTCATTACATGTATGCCTTTCATGGACATTTACTATGGATGTTCCAATGAGTCTGAATGAAATCAACAGTTTGCTTAGTTTTGGATTAGTGTTTCATCGTTGGTGTACAGAAGTAATCACTGTCAACACTGTTCATACAAATGTGTCATAATGCAGAATGAAGTTCATAATAAATATACACATAATCAAACATAGACACATGCAGTACAGTATATAACTCAAGGGCAAAATAAACTAACAAAGTCTCTCTCTACACCAAAGTATAGAGAGGGCAGAGCTTAATGAGATAATAAGCTATTAAAAGAAAACTGAGATGAAATAACACAGCTGGAAATGTATAGTACAAATAGCAGGAGCAACTGCAACAGGCTGCATGGATGGATGTGTCTGAATCTCAGTGTACACTAAATTACATCTACAAAGGTTTGGATACAAGTCATACCATGCCCTGTTATTTTACATACAGTTCATTAATTTTAACATCACAGTCTCGCTGTTCTATGTATTTCCCATTTCAACAACTTGGAATATTGGCTATCCGGTCATATAAAGCGCTTAATTGGCACTTGCCCAGCATGAATTTACAATATTTTGGACAGCTTCTGAGGCAACAGATTTGAAACAGACTCTCGCCTTGTAGTCCTCTTGCACTGCTGGACTCTGAGATGAAACCTAAGCAGTCTGTTACGCTTCCACAGGGCCATTATGTATCCTGCTATTCTTTCATCTTTGCTAAAAAACCTCCTCAGTTTGGAACCACAGAAAGAAGTCCGAAAGAAAAAGATCACGTTCTTCCCAGACTCAACACTTGTCCAGATGACACGTGACTCTGTGCATCTGTGTTTCATCTGCTGGTTATTTAGTGAGAAAGGCGCTACTTAGCACCATGCTGCTAATACATGATTTAATTACATGTACAGCTATCTTAAAACATAACCTCAAAATACTTGCCAACTCATTGCTTTTAATATGATACGTATATTAAGAAGACAAAACACGGAATAGAATACAACTTTTATTTTGACACAAGTTAAATTAAGAATGCCCAATATTTATATAATCATAACAATTTAAAGTAACATGTCAAATAAAAGATTAAAAGAACATTACAGTATACAAATATTCACAAAAACATATGAACGTATTGTTTCCCTATCATCTTAATCTGTGTTAAGATGATATATTGTCTTTCTTCTATCGTGATTCCATATTTCACTAAATATATCCAAACAAGTCCTGATCAGTGTTTGGTAGCTAAACTGAAAGCATAGATTTGAAAGTTACCATTTATTTCAGAATGGAAGAAGTTGAACTTCAGCAAATCTGTTATATGTTTGTTTTATGAGTGATTGTAAAGTAATTTGCAACAGAAATCACTTTGTACATGTGATGTAAGAGTATAAGAACATATGTTACAAAACTTTTACATGCCAACATAAAATGCCACCCAAATAAAGCTATATACAAAAATATGCCCATTACTTTGCAGGTCATGAATAAACTAAATAAAATCATTTGTCACCTTTTCTTTTAAAATTAATTAGATCAACTTGAGCACTGGTCCAAAAATAATGAACCTCTTGTGTAAACTGTTCATTTGACATCATAACAACTCAACCAGTCTTGAACCTGCAGCTCCTGGGAGTATGAGCAGCTTGAACAGTTCTCTAAAAAGTAGGCATATCTTTCGCTGTCAGATAAGAATCAAAGAGAGGATGTTTACAGTGGGGAAGCAATGTTAAATGAAAACAGACATAATTCATGTTGTATTGCCTAAAGATAATTGCAGTTTCGGTATTTCATTACACAAATAAATAGTCAAACAGGGACATGTATGTCACTACTCCTCATCACTGCCAATGATTTAGATTATAGCCTTTCAATAAAAAGTGTTGAACTTTTAGAAAGCAAACAAACGGTTCTGGAGTTGGAATGTAATGTTATCCTCAAACCTATTGCTTCTGTCTGCAGGCGGTGAAGGTCGTTTCGAGGTGGACAGGAAGAACGGCCAGGTGCGGACCACCGGCCTCCCCCTGCAGCGGGACAGGGAGTACCTGCTGACCGTGGTGGCTGCCGACCGGCTGGGGAGCCGCAGTGCCCCTGTGGTGGTCTCTGTGGTGGCGGGGGCCCGGCCCCCCCAGTTCACCAACGCCTCCTTCACCATCGCCATACCTGAAAACACCCCTGAAGGACAGCCGTGAGTTTACACACACACTTGGATACATGATGTGTTTTAAAAAGCCTGTCCTATCTGTGGCCTCCAGATGATATATGGGGGCCTGAAACACAAAATATGTTTACATGCATTTCTTCTTTAGAGATCCACATAGAGAGGTTCATATAACAGACGTTTATGCATCTGTGCACACTTAAATACACGACTATTTTAATCACGACTTATTTAGGAGTCCGATCGAATTTTGGCTTTGTTGGCCGTCCTTTTAAGAAACAGCTTACAGGGGGGAGTGAGGGACGATCATGTTCAGCTGTTGGACATTCATTTCTGAAATGTTAGAAGTGTTGGTCTGCTTTCATCAGTCGATTATTTAAAGAGGCCCTATTCTGCTTTTGAGGTTTTCACTTCCCTCGCTGTGTTATATAGATTTCTGTGCATACAGCAATTGGTCTGCAAAGGCTAAAATCCCAAAGTTCCCTCCAGAGGGAATTTGTCTTCCCCCCCCCCCCCCCCCCCCCCTGCCTGAAACACCTCAAGTAGACTCCTTTGTTTCTATAATATAATCAATACACTAAAACGTAGCTAGCTTTCCTCAAAGTATCTCTTCAAAATGACCTAGCCACACTCTCTACATCTTCTAGCCACTTGCAAGTCCATTCAATACATTTTCTTTTTTTCTTTTAGAACATACAGTAGGGTCAACTTGGCACTAATGACTGTTAGCATTATTGGGAAACGTACTGGGTAACGTTGCAGATCTCCAGTGAGAAACTCAAACCTGCCTTTGAGCTTCAACAAAGTCTTTATTGACACTTATCAATGGAAGTAAGAGTCTAGCATAGTCCAATGGCTGTTAAAACAACATTCTTAAAATGTGTGTATACCCAGCTTTAGACATGGCATGATTGATCTCCACTCAGATGAACATTAGTCTCACATGGCTAAGATGAATAATAAGATGAATCCATCACAGACATTTGATGTGCACACATAATATGTCTTTCTTTTTCTGGAGGTGCTAACACATCTTCATATTTCACAGACTGCTGAATAGATGATATTCAGCACACGAGTAAAAGCATTGCCTTCGAAACTTGATTTACACCCACCCACACACACACACACACACACACACACACACACACACACACACACACACACACACACACACACACACACACACACACACACACACACACACAGTGTTGAATTAATGCAGTGGTTTCATGATGAATGTAACACGTGTATCAGTGTGATAAACTTATGCATGAGTGCCTTTACACTTGAAACTGTGTATGCCTGCATATCTTACACACACACACACACACACACACACACACACACACACACACACACACACACACACACACACACACACACACACACACACACACATGGTACAGCTATGAGTAGTGTCCTTGGATTGGTCTCATTATCTGCCTCCAGCTGCTTTTATGTGACCGACACATTTGGCAAACTACTGAAGTGGATATTCCAGGAGGTTGTTTACGCGGGCTTCATCAGGGGAATGATGTAGGGGTTAGAAAGCACGTCTCATAAATAACAAGCAACGACTACTACTCAGCATCTTACACCTGTACTCTGCTGGTGGACATAGTGTACAGATAAGTACTTTACTGTACTCCACTCTTCAGGTCACTTAGCTCTCAGATATTTAAATCTAATCTATCCTTCTTTCCTCTAATGACCTTTAAGACTTTGCCACATTTGGATCATGTGTTAATTAGAAGTGGTAATGCAGGATATGATCAAAGTTTGGCATTATTTATCAATTATGCTGTACAAATGAATATTTATTTAAATTTTGAGGTTTATCTGATGCAATGTTTAGTAGTTAAATAGGATTTGCTACACTCAAGTACAATCTCAGATCCTTTACTGAGGTTAAGATAGTAAAATACAGAAAAAGTATTATTATTATAACAATATATTATGAATTACAATACTTGAAAATGCACGGTCCACCAATGGTTGCAATGCAATTACAATTCAGTGTACTTCATTCTAATCTATTTATTTCCTTTTAAGGGTACACATATGCACTTTTCTCTTCTGTAGTCAGCTGGCAATTCCCTACTTTGAGGCCATTTCTCCCCACCCAACAACCTCTGGCTTAAAGTGTAATCATTATCGGCCACTGCCCAGAAGGTGATACAACATGCTAGTTCATTTCATTTAGTTGACACACTCCAAAACAACAAAGTGCATTTTACTATGATCTCACACACTAAAAGATTCTGCAAGAACAGGAACTGTCAATTTAAGTGCAACTGCATTGGCGTCATATAAGCCTAACCCGGCATTAAACCAATTAACATGCATGTCTCCTCTCAGAATCGTGGAACGCAACAGCCTGTGTGCACCGCAGCCAACACTGCCAATAATAATGCAGGATGTGTGTTAAGCTAACCACTGCAAAGGAAGTGGATTTTTAGATGCAGGCAATATTGTGATTCACAGTAACATTTATGCTTTGCTGCATAAACTTCACATAGTTTTCAGTGTTTGGAATGCAAGTTGAACACATCTTAAACATCTGTAAATAAGGGAAGCACCTGAAACAAGAGAGCTGGAGAGCAAGGCCAAGAACCTGACTGCTGTATAATGGTCAAACAACTGAAATGTAATGTATTTTTTTTCTAAGCAATTTTCCTTGACCCTGATGGATGACGTCATGAGCTCAAAGAAATATTATTGAAAGCATGTTCATGGATTTAGGAAAATACATCTGTGATGCTAAAGAAAAGCTGCATTTACACTAGTGTGGGGTTTTAGTTTGAGCAACTCTATTTATAACACACAATTCATCAGTTCAAAACTTCAGATTTTTGCCAATTTCCAAACCGACCCTTACACACTTCCCACTCTGTTTCTGAGTGAACTCTGACTGCAGTCACAGTCTAAGCTAAATGAGGCTCTCTTCCTTAAAGTGTAGGGTATACAATAAAAGCAAACTTTAGAATAACCTCCTCTCTCTCTCCATCACAAACTGTTAACAATCCAATCAAATGTGCAAACTCAGTGGAAGTAGTAAGGTGAGGGTATAGGCGCTAGTTTGGAATCCCTATGCTAAAGAATACAATAAAGGAAGCACTGAAGCACAGATTCTTTGGCATTTAGAGAGTTCAAACAGTTCCTATCATGGCGGCCATGTTAATTTCACTCAGTTAGGAAGCGTTCTTAGCAGAAAACCACTATTCTCTCTGCTCTGTTCCTTTGACCTCATTCTGCAATATGATCTTCCGAATGAATTTAGTTATATTTAAAAGAAAATAAAAAGGTTTATTGCCACTGTCACCTTTTTCAATTACTTGTAACCAATGTTTGTAAAAACCAGTAGAACCTTAAAGAAACTCTATTATGCTTTTTTGGGGCTTCTATTGGCTTGTGCTCCAACAAATTACTTGATAGGCTAAGGGGCGGGACTTATCCTAGCACTTGACCAATCACAACAGAGCTGCCCAGATAACCAATCATAGCAGACTTTGCTCTGGTTTCAGACAGAGGGTGAAAAGAAAAAAAACTGCAGGCCAGGCAGTATGAGAAAAATAAAGCACTTTTTGAACATTAAAGCATTGAGACATATCACTGTACACAGGCACAGCATAAACATATGAACGTGGAAATGAGCAGAATAGGTCCCTTTTTAATAAGAAGTTGGGGTTATGAGTTGGGAAAAGGTCTATGTGGGTTAGGGTTTGGGTTCAAATCAAGTCCATTCAGATATACTGTATATACTCTTTTCTACCCCACTCTGTTCTGCACACTCAGTCTATTCGTTCCATGTGTTCCCAGATTCCTAGTCACCCCTGCTGTGTCCTTCCAGAAGAAACCAATCAGCTACAGCCTTCTCATCAATCCCAGCAGCCTCTTCTCCATCTCAGCAGAGACCGGTGAAATCAGCCTGACCCGTCCTATCGACTACGAGAGCGACCAGCATCGCTACCTTCTGTTGGTGCGAGCCAGCGAGGGCCTGGACAGCATGAGCAGTGCTGCCGAGGTTTGTAGGTTTGTGTGTGTGTGTGTGTGTGTGTGTGGTCACAATTCCACTGTCAAATGTAATGGTCTTTAAACCTCAAAGAATGTTGACATTACAAGGTTGTCTCGTCAAGACTAACACAGTCTGTCCAGCACACTGAAAACAATGTTTGACAAGTCCTCAAATGAAAAGGTTTTCTACTTGCCGTCCGACGTCCTCTTGTTCCTCATGAATCACGGCTGACTTTGATCTGCTCAATTTGAAGTTGTTGTCACACACTTCTTGGACAGGGTGCAGGAACAGTTGGCTGGATGACAGATCTTGGACTGTGGTGAGCAGTGGGGATTATGATATATCTCACAGACAATAAAGTAACCACACATAGTCATAAAACCCCCGTCTGCTCTGCAAAGTCCTTGAGCTGGACATAGATTTAAACTGCTGAAATGATGTTAGATTAAATTGTATTGATTTCAAGTTGGTGTACTGACGGTTATACTTTGTAAATGTTGCAGTTAAAATGATCGTTTGGTTTTAGGGCTTCCAGATTGCTGTTTTTTCTGTTTAACGGGAGACATTTTTAACTTATCAATCCTATAGGATGCCTTTGACCTGATGTGCTTGTAGAAATGACTTAATCCTTAACATAAGACACATTTACATGTCCAGTTTTAGTCTCAGAGTGTTGCAGTGCGTTTAAATTGCGAACTTCTGATCTTGTTGTTGAGTACAGTCAACGTATTGCACTCACCGACTGCCATTTGGGCTTTGTAATGGAAGTTTCATGATTGGCTAAAGCCCCCAGGAAGTAGGCTGGACGTTGGAGCACATTTCCCTAGTGGCCAAACGCTGTTCCCATTTGTTCCCATTGACGTACATTGTAAAAGACTCAATGGCAATCAGCAAATACTTTTTTTTAGCTAAATCAACTACCTACGGTCACTTCAATAGGCCTTATTTAAAACATTATGGCCTAAAGGTTGTAAAATAGGCTAATAGCCAAATCCAGAGAGATTAGTGCCCTCCATTAATTTGACTGAGCCGAGATTGCCTGTGACGCTGTATATTGGAGGCGGGCTTATGGAAAATGCAAGCGTATGTGCTCTATTGGCCCAGAGACAGGTACTTACTGTATACTCTCGAGAGTCAGGTCATTTTAGCTTCATGTGCAGTGAGCAACTTTCATAGGAATGAACGTGGCCTCGCCTCCGATGCCGTATCCAGCTCTCTTTCTTCATCCATAGATTAGCCACAATTCTCTTCTCAGGTTAACACAGCACTTTACAATTAAATATTATAAATGTCGATTTTTCCCAATTTTAGTACCACTATACTGTTGCCATAAAGAAGCCACCATTAAATGTATAGTCAATTAGGCTATAATGGTTTGGTACTGAGAACGATTGTTGCTAGCTTGTTAGCTAGTGATCGTCACTTCCGGTAAGGGCTCTGCTGCTGTGTACGTTTTGAGACGACGCTACATGGTTAGAATCCACCCACTCTAAAAGTGTTCACAGTGCAAGACATGGCACTGTAAACACTAGAATTGAGACACAGCATAGGCATATTGTTTTTAGTCCAACCCAAATAGACTTGTCTGTCTAGAATGACTGCTTTGGAATTCCCAGTGACTTCCTTGTGTTGTCAGGAGGTGTGATAACAGCGGCTGACCGCTGCAGGCATTGATGCATCTGGTCTGGTTTCCATCATTACTCTGGCCTCAGGCGAAAACATGTCCTGCTGAACCGATCTGTCCTCAACTGCTCCACTCTGGGCCCCTGTGGACTGCAGAGCACCAAGAGCCTGTGCAGAGAGAAAGAGAGGGAACATGAGAACATTTGTAGAATGAGTTGAGGATTATGAGATCCAATGGTTAGAAAGAAATGGATTGGTATGGTGTTGTGCTCTGCCCCTGTCTGCCCACACTCCTGCCCTGGCTTGCCCTCTGAAGCCGGGTTAAGCTTTTGAACATCCTCATATACAGTCCCATCAGCGCTGCTAAAGCCAGCACCTTTTTGACACTGTAACCTCGGCCCCCACCTCGCTGCCCCTCTGTCTCTGCACACTACCACAGATAACCTGTGCTGTATTCAACTCTGAGCATACTGCCTGTGATGCACATATACTTGATTATATTATGGATTGTAAGACACTTTGATTTTCTTCTTATAGTAAAGGGTGGCTATGGCTAACGAGGTAGAGTGGTTTTCTACCAATTGCTCCCGATGCCATGGCAAAAGGTGTGTGTGAGTCAGTGGCGAACCGTCAGGGCCTTCAAGGTATTCAGAGAATACCCTGGAACACTCAGATAAAACAAACAAAAAAATCGATTTAATTATAAAAATAAAATGTATATAAAATGAATAAATGAGAATGGTATCTGTGTTGTTGATCTGTAATATTACAGTGTTACGTTGATTTATTTGTCCTTCTCGGACGTTTGGACTGACAGTTTGATCAACCAATCATATATTGATTTGTAGCCAATGGGCGTGTTCTTCCAGAGTTTCCCTCGGTTCCAGGGTACTCTAGAGCAGTGGTTCTCAAACTTTTTTCAATAATGTACCCCCTTTGAAAAAAAATTCAGCCAAGTACCCCCTGATCAGCACAAAAACTATGTTAGGGAAGAAATGCCTATATAAAGAGGTACAGTACAGTGCTGCACCATCGGTGTCTGATTTATTAAAACAACAACCTTGTAACTGAGAAACACTTAAATGCTACATTTCAAATAATAATAATAGATATATTTTGTTAGCGCTTTTACAGGTGCTCAAAGACGCTTTACAGATATAGTGTTTACAATCCATCACTAAATTCATGGAAAACCAATTTTAACATCATGCAATAACACTAAGACGACATTAGTTGCATTGAACTGATCTTTTTAATAAGTTGTACTTACAATGTAGTGAGAAACATGGGCTTTGTTATTCTCAGTGACAGGAAGGCCACTGCAGTTGTTACACTTCGCGTTTTGAAATATGTGTTACTGTTAATATAAAACCCACACTGCTCAAAATTTGTTTTTCTTTTCATTAACATAAAATAAATCTCACGTACCCCCTGCAGTACTCCAACGTACCCCTAGGGGTCTGCGCACCCCCATTTGAGAACCACTGCTCTAGAACAGTGGTTCTCAAACTTTTTTCACTCATGTACCCCCTTTGAAAAAAAAATTCAGCCAAGTACCCCCTGATCAGCGCAAAAACTATTTGTTAAGGGAAAAAACGCCTATATAAAGAGGTACATTACAGTGCTGCACCATCAGTGTCTGATTTATTAAAACAACAACCTTGTAACTGAGAAACACTTAAATGCTACATTTCAAATGTTTACAATCCATCACTAAATTCATGGCAAACCAATTTTAACATCATGCAATAACACTAAGACGACATTAGTTGCATTGAACTGATCTTTTTAATAAGTTGTACAATGTAGTGAAACATGGGCTTGAGCTTCACTGAGGATCTTTGTCATTCTGACAGGGAGGCAAACTGCAGTTAGTACACTTCACGTTTTGAAATATGTGAAACTCTGTTAATATAAAACCCACACTGCTCAAACTTCCTTACTTTTCCTAAAATTGGTATATTTATTTATTTGTTTTGGGGCGTGGGGAATGAAGAGAACAAATATAGTAGCATTTTATGAGCATGGGATTTTGACCCCTCATATAAACATATGCATAATGCTGCGCTATACTTTTCGGCCACACGCCGTTGCCAAGCAACGCTTATTGTTTAGGTGTCCTTTGATAAGCAGGCAGTCATATAATTAACTAGAACTAGCTAGATCTGATAGATTTGGACATAGACGCGAGTGAAGTCTAACCGGACGCGAGAGAGAGATCAGATCAGCTGCTGCTGACGGAGAACACGCAGCTCTGCATGATCACAGCTCCGCCGCTGTGACGGACCGTTGAGCCGAGCAAAAATACACTAAGAGTTAGACCTAACACACTTAGCTAGTTTATCTACTCTGGAACTAGCTAAACTAATTATATTTATTTTTTACTGTTGGTCACTTATTAGAGGTTCAGCAAGCTGCACGAGACTGACGGGCTGTCAGGAGAGGAAAAGAGAGCACCCGTTTATTTTTCCCATTTTATTATCCAGAATTACTGTAAACCTTTGAATTAAGTAGTTAAACTACTATTAGTAGTTTGTGTAAATGCATGTGTGTATGAATTATACGTTTTTGTTTTTGTATGATTTTAGTAGAATAAATAAAAAAATAAAAATAAATGTTTTTCTTTTCATTAACATAAATAAATCTCACGTACCCCCTGCAGTACTCCAACGTACCCCTAGGGGTCCGCGTACCCCCATTTGAGAACCACTGCTCTAGAAGGCCCGCTAGTTAACTGGCTCGAGACAGAGGATCTAGATGAGTGCGACGAAGCAATTCATGCCGTTTTATTGTTTTTAACGTTGAAATTACAAGTGCAACAGGTGGAGATGAAGTTGTTGCGGAATTGTTGTGAGTACCCTTTTCAAGACGACAATTCAGTGAAAAGACGGACATTATAATGCCGCGGAGGGGGGGGCAGCGGGGGGGGGGGGGGGGGGGGGGTGTGTGTCTACAGAAGGTCCAGTTGATAGACACGGTTCGCCACTGGTGTGAGTGTGTGTGAATGTTAGTCTTCCTGAGCAGGTGGCACCTTGTAGATCAAGGCTGTGGTTTGATCACATGCCCCTGAACGTAACGTGTGGATGTGTCCTTATGGGCAAGATACTGAGTGGTGGAATGTAACATCAATTGATTTATTTATTATTTATTTAACACTCATTATTATTCATTATTAGTTTTTACATACACAAATACATAATATGCTGATTTCACATGATGCAGGACATGTTTGTTGACAATATATTGACAAACTTGGTGAACTGCTTTTACATGTTTGCTTTTCTGATAAAACAAAATGATATTATATTATACTGTGAAAAGAGCCATGGTGCATACTTAATACATAAGTTACGTATATTTTGCTGATAATACTTCTGCCCTTCTAC